ATTGCCTCTGAATCCAGTTTCGGGAAGAAAAGTCCGTCGAGTTCCTTCTAATCATGAGGTTTGTGTTTGACAGAAACAATGTGGAATTCCCTTCTATGGACAACATTACTTGTGCTGATTTCTCAGTGCTGTTCGCAGTCGTTTCAGGTAAGTATGAATTGATTTTGAAGCTGTTTAGTCCCTTTCTCATAACAGAAAGAGGTAAAGTTACAGTTTGTCATTAAGTCCACGCGGCTGTCAATAAACTAATAGCTACGGTGACTTAAGATCATCTCACGTGTAACAAGCGTGTGTAGTGCACAAGATTCGTGTACAAATTGTTCAACAGAAGAATAGCTTCTTTCCCCGTCGTGTTCGAAACAATTTTTCTGGAGGAATATGTCACGAGAGTTGAAGACGCAGTCATGTATGAAGAGAAAAAAAAATAAGAATTGAGTCAGTGTATTACCTCGCCGAAAGGTTTATTGTTATATTTTTGGAGGTCTCGGTGATAGTAGTCAAGAGCCGTATACATTGAAATTTATCTCGCTAAAGAGATAAGATCTCTAGCATCCACACATTTTGCAATTTACAGCTCATTAAGTGCTAATGCGTGAGAACATGGAACGTTCTTTAGATATAAATAAGATATGATAACTTGCTGTTTAAATCGGATATTATTTTTATTTAGTGTTTGATATTGGTCCACGACAACGGAAAAACAACTGTAAGGACCCAAGTAGGACGGAATTAAGGCGATCGAATAAATAGTTTAAATGGTAGTAGAACTGTCGTGAATTCCGCCTGCTTTAATGAGATAGATATACAATTCTGCCTTAAGCGAATTCACCCCTAACCACGAACAAACACTATTGACAGAATGGAGGGAAGCAGATAAATGTCATGCTAATTTGACATAATACGACCCAATGGGATGAAAACAGAAATGTTAAAACTGATCATTTCGATGACTGAATAACCCTAAATCTTCAAAGAGTCGTTTTATAGCAGCCCTCGAAAACTTCCTAATGTTTTTTCTGATTCGATCCGCGCTTTACTTTGTTATAATAATCAACAAGAAATTTCCCGAGTCAAACCACAGGTTTAAGTTCTAGACTCATTAATTGGCTGCAAGAGTTGAAAGGTAAAAAAAAAACCTCACCAAAGCTTCACCATTAGGTATCAGCTTCAATCAAAAAAATAATTGGCTTGGCCACGTCGATACTCATATTTGAAACGAAACTTCTGACCAGGATTGTGAGTAATGTCATGGTATGGGAACTTCAACTGGAATCAAACTATCTTTGAGTTACGCAAAACTTCCTGCAACATCATGTTGTCTCTTAAGCAGTTCTTCTCTCATTTCTACTACAATTTCAATAGTCAATCAGTGTCTCAGTAAAATGCAGGTTTCTGTTACGTGGGATGTCGTCTTAATGACCATTAGAATTTTTAGATTGCCCACAAGGGAGCGACCTACGATGTTGTGGCTAACAACAATAGTTATGATTGACAAGTTCCAAATTCACACCAAAATACCTGAAGCCATAGTAATCGGTTTAAGATCGGAAGGAGTTGTGAGTATAAAATTGTGGACTGAATCATTTGAAGATATCCAGTGAGACTGCAATGCTGGACCATTAATCTTGCCTCTGCAAATGTTCGTTTTTCGAAGAGACAATATTCGTGTGAATTGTTCTGGAAATCATGGTTGCACATCACTCGAACCCTTTGGTCTTTTTTTATAGGAATTCACTGCTTGAAGGATTTTCCCCAAACATCATTTATCAGTAGAGAAAACGGACAGCGCTTTGACTTGCGCGGATCTCAAGCATTTTAAACAGCACTGCATATCTGAATTAAAAAGAAACATCAGTGTCCATTATTAAACTTGTATTTTTCTGCCTTAAAATATATAGAATAAAAAGGGACGAGAAAATATGATTTACGAAAGCAGTACGTAAGGTCTAAACGTTTTCAACCCACTTACCAACCGGATTAAATTATTTCTTTGTTTTCTTTTCTAAAATAAGAAGCGTAAGCCACCTATTGTTTGAGGTATTTTTTGGCCGGATAATTATCATCAATAAAACTAACTCAATCAAGCAACTTATTATGCTAAGCTTTTGTGCCCCTTATATGAAATCCATTGGTGATATCGGCTTAAAAAAAATGTTATGTTCTCAAGTAGAAGGCAGCCCAAAACATTCTCAAATAAAATCACGGTTGTCATCATTATAATCTCCTCTATACCATCAACTCAGCATAACTCGCACTGTTTCTTAACAAATACCGAGGATGTTCACGGCTTCATCCCCTTCCTTCGCCTGACCCGCAATAAGTTGAAGTCCCTGTGTTCAGTTATGCGAAGTATTTTGGGTGATTATTGTTTGATATTCACTACTGAGTTTTTTACATGTACTTATACCTGCCTGTTTAATTTTTCTTTGATATAGTTAGAAATTATTCCTTGTAATACTTAATTGTTAGTGGTCTGCTTACCGGGGAGATAACTGGGGTCCTTGGAGTGACTGGTCTCCCTGTACTCGTTCATGTGGCGGAGGCACTACATCCAGGACTAGGCAGTGTTTAGCCACCTCCAGGTTTGTAATGTTTTATTCTGGAGAAGGACTTCACCCAAATCCGAAAAAGGATGCAGTTTTCTGTATATTCGTAGGAAAAACAATCTCCCAACCTAAATGATATTTTTACCGAAAAGTACCAGCAGCTTATACGTTAATTAAGCCTGGTGTAAGAATGACAGGGCTTTCCGAAACAAATTGGCGTGGGTGTGGGGAGGGGAATAAAACAGGTGTACATGTATTTACAAATTTCGTGCCTTTAACTGTGGGATTTGAAAGGTGAATTATTTTGCCATACCGCGGCTATTGATCAGGATACATATGCAGGTTGACAGAGAGCCATTTGTGGTCTGTTCTTCTCGTTTTTTGGTTTTATCGTAACGGCTCAGTGAGCTTGGAGGAAAACCAAACGTCCAATTGGCATTTGAACGAGAAAGAGCTGGGTCAAGAACACGACAAATTTTGTCTTGTTCCAATCGCTTATCGTCTCAATCTCTGGTCACCTAAAGGACTTGCTCCTTATCGAGAAAAAACAGACTGCTAGCGATTAGATGGGACAAACCTTTACTGAAAGCCTCGAGCGTCAAATAGTCATGTTATGAAGGATAAATGCTCAGATGACTGAGGCATATAAATATGGACTAAGAGTGCTAGAGATTACAGCTGGCTTATTAATAGGCAAGTACGCGTGAAGCACGATTGTCTTGACACCAGCCTGTATGAAATATAGAGATTAAATCAAGCCTATGTGGGAGGTCAGCTTTTTTCTTTTATATTTTGAACGTCTGAAATATTGAATACTTAAGTTCTCCAAGTTATGAGCTGTTCTATTTCTCAAATTCATTTCAACCATAGCTAAAAACAGTGCTAAAATATTTGCAAATTCTCTCGTACTCTCTAGTTGAAAGGCATCTTCAATAATTGTACAGACAAAGAAAATGACCCCTTATCAATAGTTGTTTCTCTCGGTTTCCAGGAGTAGCAGTCTGTCCAAATATATATTGAGGGTGTACAAACAATATGGTGAAAACAGAGGAAGATGTCAAGGCGAAGACACTCAGTACAACACTTGTAATATGCAGGTATGTTACCCCCACTTGCTGTAGTGATAGATATCTTATCTTTGTATACGGATTACTTTATCTCTGCCATCAGCTGGGAGTCAGGTAATAAAGTTACGTCAACCCTTCCATAATTATTGAGCAGATATCTGAATCAGTTATTAATCAGTTACTATTCAGCAGTTAAAAAATGTTTTTGGAAGCTAACTCTTTAATTACAAATGTTGTAAGATTAGAATAATAGAATGGCTCCCATGAGAACAGTTTCAGACAGAGTCCTTTATCTTTCTTAAGTGCCAGGCTGAGACATTAGGTAGGTAGATAGGTAGGTAGACTTTATTTAGCCAGGGTGGCCCATTCAGCAACGAGGCTGATATCCAGAGGGGCCCTGGAGTAAAAAATTACAATAGTTAAGAATACAAGACATCTTGAAAGCTGAAAATACAGGATAAAGTTTAAAAATGCAAAAAATATTTATAAGTAAAGGTATAAACAAACATGCAAAAGTTTACAAGAATATAGTATCTATAAAATTTTAAAATTTGTAGGTATTAATTAGAACTTTGAAGGAAGAAAGTGACTCAGCGTTTTGAATACAACGAGGTAAAAGGTTCAAAAGAGCTGAGCCCGAATACATTGAAGTTCGTTTTGCAAGGCTTAGTTTCGGTTTGGGCAGGTGCAAATCTGTTCTCCTGCGAGTATTATAGCTATGTACATTACAATTTCTAGTGACTGGTCACTCAAATATTCAGATACTAGATTATTTAGGCATTTAAATACTAAGGTACATTTATGTCTTTTCCGTTTTGTTTCTAGCTCAGCCCACCCTAAAACATTAAAAGTGTCTTTAGAAGAGTGACGCCATAAAACGATGGGGCAGCGCGATTTTGTAACCATTGTAGGGTTTTGCTGGCATGACATTAACGCAATTTTGTTAATTCCTTGGAACCACAACCCGTTCCACGACTCAATACCTTGTTTATCATGCTTGAAGAACTTTGAGTAAAGGGAGTAGGTTTGAAAGCAAATGAGTTGTAGTAGATACAAGTGGTGAGAACATAGGGCGGACTTAAGCGATACAGTTTCTTATTCTTGATTTTCATCCGTTGGAGAAGAACTCAAGCAGAAGTTAGTATAAACTGTTCAAAGCAAGTAAATCCAGGAAAATAGTTAGGCGTTCAACAACTCCACGGATTTTAAATTCAACTTATGGACGGCTAAAAGCTTACAAAGAAACCTTTTTGATCAGTCATTCTAATTCACTAGTATAAATACGCCAAGACAGAAAAAGTCAGGTAGGATACAAATCACAAGCGAGCTGATTACGCGCATAATTTAGGTCTATAATAAAGTATGCTAACTGCAGACAGTACTGTTTCGGCCTTCTGGGCCTCATCAGTACAGTGCTGATGCTAGGATGGGGGAGAACCGATATGGATCCCCAAAGTATGCTCAGTCTCGACACAACCAAATTTGCCATTTTAGCTTTGCACCCACAGGCAATAAGGTGGATCCTTTAATGGAATTCGATGCTTGCAGACAGTAGTAACCTTCAGCCACTTAACAGCCACTTACCTTTTATGAAACTAACATAATGCTTTCATGGTTTTTATCATCAACAAAACACCCTTCTTGAACAGATAATAAAATAGTAACCCAAGGAGACTGTTCCAGACTGAACACCTATACCTAGAGTTGTAGTTATGCGTTAAAAGACTAATATACCAGCGCCGTTTAAAGACAATTCAACGTCACGGTTGAAAATAAACCGATCGGGAACTATAAAAAAGTTGGCCGCAAATATTTTTTGTTGGAATCCAGTAGGCATGCTTTTCGAACAATTGACTTTAGTCTTCATTTTGTTCAGTTCGCCTTTGTAATCTCTGGGCATCGTCTTTGATACATACAAATAGAATTTGTAATCCTGTTTATTTGGATGGGTCAGACCAATTATCGGTCGCATTTTTCTTGTCTGGTTCGTGAATGTTCTAACTAGCTGACAGTTCCCTTGATAAACACCCTTGTACTGCGAACATCACCCTGGAGAGTACTGTGAGCCATTCAATGAATGTCAGCATTATTCAACAGTGTTAAAGGGTTATTCAGTCAAGCGTGGAGCGCTCAGTTCAAGCAATCCAGCGTCAACCACAGCAATGGATTCTTTAGACGCAAGGATATTGATGATCATTTTGTTGAGTGCACCTGGGTGCAGTGCACAGGATATTCGCGAAACATCGCAGCTACGAAAGAATTTAAGAAAGCTAATTGAAGCAAAGCTGGATCAGAATGTTGACAGGGATGTACATTCTAGCCTGGTTAGGTACTACGTCAAGATATTGCAAGAGTTGGATTTTTTTAGGTTCAAGAAGAACATTTACACCATGAATACGACTACTCACCACCTCGCCCTTCCTCAATGTTCTAACGTAGGTACTAACTGGAGATAGGTCTTTCGACTTGTGAAAAATTTCACATTTATACAGCGTAACGACAAAGCATTTTTCGACTTTAACAAAACATGTAAAGGTTAAGTGGTAAACGACTTAGCAAAATGTAAACATGCATATTCTGAGTGGCCTTAATTCGTTTTTGTGGCACTTAAAAGACCAATAAATTACATTAAATCTATTGTCTAACCCATGCAAACTCTGAACATGCGAACAGAGTTTCCACTGAAACTTTTTGTTTTGAAATTAGAATGGCTCCCTCATGAGCAGTAACCAGTTGTCTAGATCTCGATTGTTGAAAGTTACAACTGTCAGAGACGAAATTCTTGATCAGCTCCAGCGAGTTTGCTTTCATCTTCAAAGTTACCAACCTTCGTACAGAGAGTTTTTCTCCTCTTAATCACTGGGAAAATCTTCTTCGTTTGCAGTTGAAGGTTGTTATGTATCTAGTTTCGTTTGTTCAAGGTGTTCATTGATTAAAAGTTCTCTAAACATAATCACATCAGTATTATCTCTAGAAAGATTCATCATAAATATGTTTGATTTCTGATGGAGTTTCTGATGAATCAAACTCAAATAATCTACAACAAGATAACTTTAAAAGCATACATGAAATCACTCAGTATAAGTTACATCGGTAACGTGTTATGCAGGGGATAAACGGTCAATGACCTACTCACGTACTAAAAGCACTCTTTGTTTCAGCGTATACACTACGTTGTGATGTAGATGTTATCGAACTGATATACTTGTGGCCTATTGTAGTAAGCGGAAAACTTCGCTTACGTTTTGACTATCCTCCCTTTTTGTACTTCATCGTTCTACCTTTTTAGATGCGAACCGTGTTCAACTTTCTTCGTTCCCAGACAGCATAAAAAACACTTTCTACAAACAATACAATTTTTTTTTAATTCTCCAACTTCAGCGAATGAGTTGCGTCTAAACTTAACTTGAAATCATTTGTTTAATTTGTGGGAGCCTTTGAGTAAGTTGGGAGCGGGTACTGGAAGGCTAATCAGCACCAGTTGTAGCGGCATCCCGTCCTTAGTTGTCCCTTTGGAATTATTCTTTAGCACCATTTTTGGACACTGAATATTAAAAATCCAATTCAAGGGCAGCCAAGCTCAGTTTGGTGTTTTCATGTCTGATCTAAAACTCATTCAGTGTTTCTTAAATGTTAACAGGTGTGTTTCCAGGCTCCCGAAGTGACGCGGCAAAGTGCTATCGATACTCGTGCTGAACAATGCAGAAAGTTTGATAACCATTCCTTCAACGGTTACTTTTTTACTTGGGTCCCATACCTGAAAGGTGAGAGAGCTAACTATAGTGTCCCATCATTGTCAGCGGTCGCCAGAAGGATGCAGCTAAACCCTTCTTTCCACCGAAAAAGACTACGCAGTTTTTCTAAAAGGTCTAAAAGACGTGAATGCTATTTACGAAACCCGCATAACCAAAGAGATGAGCTTCAGTGTTTCATAAGTTTTACCTTCTTACAATTCAACGACACTAAAATTTTTTGTCGGTACAAAATCCTAACACAAGCATTTTGTGTTCATTATAGTAAAGGATCGCGACGAATGTGAGCTCAACTGTTTAGCGAAAGGACACAAGTTCTTCCTGCGTCTTTTGCCTAAAGTCAAAGACGGAACCCCTTGCCTCAGTGATCTGAAAAAAGTCTGCATTGATGCAAAATGCAAGGTGCGTTGAACACATGTTTATTATTCTACTTGTGTCTACAACTTCATAGCGACGCTATCGGTTAAGGCCCCTTCATCAGGCACAGATCCCGCAAAGAAAAGTGATATTTAAACGTTCATTTAACCAGTTTCATCTTATATTCTAGGAACTTCCTTCAGAATGCAAAGAAGGTGGATGTTTTGGTACGAAGCCATCTGAAGCACGAAAACAAAGACGGTTCGGAGTTTTTACATCCGGAGATGTCTCACGAGGGCAACTCAGTGAGTTTGTTAACAAAGTATTTCCTCTCCTCCATGCTCTGTTGTTTCCATAAACAGAAAATGGTACTGAGTACCATTGAGTATTAACAAGAGTGTATAAACTGTTATCCTGCCTTGGTATTAAAGCCAATCTTCACAAGGTTATTCCGGCAGCTCTTTTTAACCAACAGTAATAATTGGATTGTTCCAAGTTCCACGTGTTCCACTCTCAACATTACACAATGTTACGTTTTGTTTCAGCTGCAGTTATTAATAACAACCAACATGTCACAGTTGTACGTCTTAAAGTTTGTTGTTGAAGTATGACCGATAATTAGAACCCGTTATAAAAAAAAAGTACAAATTAAATTACGACAATGACCGCGATTTGAGACGTGCCAAAAATTTATATGGTCAGTTCTGAACTCGGTCACAAAATGAGGAGAGATGTTATTCGTCTGGTCACGAGCGTGGGGTAAGAATAAAGAATTAAAGGGCATTTTGGACAACATGTATATGCGTCTTTATATAGAGTTGTTTTTCTAATGGTTGCGTCCACAGTCGAAATTTAGGCCGATGTGAAGACCATTTTCCTGCAGTTAGGTTACTCCTGAGATCTAAAACTGTCGCACGATGTAGATATTTCAGAATAATTTTTCAGTGGCGAAGCACACTTCTCCTCTAAAATCTTGGTGTTATTATTACTCTTGGTGTTAATATTGTTCTCACTCAGTCGTTATTTAGTGATGCCTCTCGTAGACATCTTTTCTCCCTTTTCTGGAACAGGAGACAAAGTACGTATGTTGCTATTCAGTTCTAGGTTACAACCCTGTCATTACAATCCCAGCGGGTGCTACGGAGGTAAACATCACCGAAATCCGCAGAAGCAAAAATTATCTGGGTGAGTCGCTGGCATACTAATTCGTTTTTGAACTATCCAATCCCCTCTATTTTGATCCAAACAATCGTGGAAATCTCCAAACGAGTCTTCACTGAGTGACACTTTAAAGTTTGTATGCTTTAGCCAAGCTAATATCTACAAAACTTTCAACAGAGGCCACCTGGACGGTAGACATTTCAATTTTATCCACTTGACCGCTGAAGATTAATTTTCGGATAATGAAGGTTTTCATAATTTCCGAATAAAACACATTTTTGGTTGAATCTTTAAACTTCTTGGACTAGATTTGTTTTCCCCTCCAAAAACTAGCAACACTTAGTAGAAATGAATCAGAATTACGTGTTTTACCTGTTTCCTATATGTGAACCTTTCTTCATGGTATACCTGACGTAGTAGATTAAGGAATACGGATTTTTTTACCAATTGTTTTCAGCTCTCAAGTCACATGATTCGAACAAGTATTACATCAACGGAAACTGGGTTATCGATTTGCCGAAGGGTTACAACGTGGCAGGTACAACCTTTTATTACACCAGGCCTCGCAGAAACAAAGCAGGCCACGAGGCTTTCATTGCTGCTGGTCCAACTGATGAGGATCTTGACGTTATGGTAAGAAGATGAAACTTACCATAATTTCAATCATAACGTTGAATCTGGTCATAACTGGAGACAAACACAAAACAAATTGCCGTTTCCGTAAGCGTAAAGCGTACTGACAAGTTGTCTGGTGTTGGAATTTCAAAGTAATTTCAGTATCTACTTTTTTCGCCAGCTGCTTTATCAAGACGACGAGCCAAGAATCATGTACTCCTACTTTCTTCCTAAAGATTATCTTAACAAAAAACAAGCACAGCAACCTGCGGAACCGGCTGGCTTCGGACAGAGAGGTGTACAGCCTACCCAACCAGTATCTAATGGAAACTCGTACGCTTGGAAACTAACAGGGTTTACACAGTGCACCCACTCGTGTGCTGGAGGTAGATAAATACCCTGTAGAAACCTCTGGTAGATCATCTTACAGACGCTGATCTTCACAAAGTTTAATAAACAATGTTTGAGAACCAGTCGCTAATTACTGTGGAGGAGGCGCACTAAAATTCGTATTGGTACATCAAATATCCTCAACAATGGACTGTAAACTTTCAAATTCTTTAGTCCTCGTTGCATTAAAGTGACAATCCCCCTGTCCGACAACCTGATAACGTAACAAATATCGAAGGTATCGACATTTGCACTGCTGTGTAATCAATTCGCTGTCCTCTTTTTTTACAGGCGTTCAAAACACGGTGTATCAATGTGCCTCATTAACTGATAACTCAGTCGTCGAACAGTCAGCATGTCAGCGGAACCAAAAACCACAGCAAAGACAAAGAGTTTGTAACCTGCAACCTTGCCCGCCAAGGTAACTCAGCGGTTGAACTTTGCGTTTGTTGCTTACGGAATTTCCGTGTCAGTCACCTATCTGAAAGTATTGGTGTAAAAGTGACAAGTCGCAACTATCGTTATCTTGCTTGGAGGTTCAAGTTATCCGGAGTCCACTTATTTATACTGATATGGGCAGTTCTGTTAGAGGGAAATTTTGAATAACACTCGACATTTATGTTTGTACAATAAGAAGCTATACTTGGTCGAGAATCAAACCAATCGTGGTGTTATAAGGAAGAGTAAATAAAGATTTGCAAGATATCAAATTTACCCAATACGCCAAGTTAGTTCATTTCATTATGAAAGGGATTTCTTTCAATTAGGAGGACCTCCGACATTTAACTTGAACAAAGTAATCTTCCAGTCATTTGCCAGTCACTCAAATCTCAGATTTTCTGCAATGCAGTAATGATAAATAGTATTAGCAATCCAAAGGTTATTTTTTTCCACGTGCTGTTAGATTTAGCAAAGCGTTCTTTAACATAGGTGGGAGCCGAGTCAGTGGGGTCTGTGCTCCAAGACATGTGGACCTGGCTTACAGATCAGAAGTCTGTTGTGTAAACAGTTAGTAGATAGCAACGGTGCGCGGAAAGATCAGATGTTACCCATAAGCTACTGTCCACAGTGGGAGAGGCCTAACCCGAGCCAGAACTGCAATTTGAGGCCTTGCCCTCTTCCAGCAAACTGGACTGTTGGAGAATGGAGCAAGGTGATAGTTTAAAATTTAACCGAAATCATTTATGGAACCACACACCACTTGTAACGAGTCTTTCACAAACGCAGTTCGCCTGCAAACTGAGTCTCGCGTCGACAAACACAATCCAGATAGTAAAACGGACGATGATAGTAAACGGCGCTATAGTAGCGGCGGAGGCAGGTAATTCAATTGTGGTTTATTTTCACGCTTCAGTGTTCTGTCACATGTGAGAGAGGACTCAAACAGAGGATTGTTACGTGCACAGACATCAAGAATACTTCTGTCGATCACAGCTTCTGCAGACATCGCCCAAAGCCAGCCATGACTAAATCGTGCTTCGCAGGTTCTTGTAAAACTGAATGGTTTACGAGCCAGAAGTGGTCACAGGTGAGTTCCTATACATATACGTTCCCAGTTGGTTTGTGTTCTACTGGCTAATAATCTTCTCCACAATTTCAAACTGTCGTTCATACCGCAATTCATTTTTTGTCATTCTAACTGCGTAAATCTTTCGATTTCCTTTAAAATTGTTCGAAAAGGTAGTCACCAGCTCTCATAAAGGTACATGTTTCGAGTATTGTGCTTTGAATATTAATTCAGCGGATTTGCTTATATTGTTCATTCTAGACTCCCGTTCCATATTGTGTCTATACTTCGTACTGTCCGTTTCCTCTGTTCTTATCTTTTTGTTTTACTTAAGTTTCTAATGACGACCTTTCCCATTATTGTGTCATTTGTTCGCCTCTAAGCTGTCTTTCATTGGACCATTTTTCCGATTCTTTCTTCTTTCTCTGCTCTAATCTCTGCTTTTCCCTTTTTAAAGTGCTCAGTGCCTTGTGGGAGAGGAGAACAAAGTCGACTTGTGTTCTGTGGAAGAAAGGGAGGTGACGCCCTTATTTCTGGTCAGTGCCTTCAGGCCCAAAAACCGAGCTGGACCAGAGCTTGTAACAATGGGAAATGTCAGGCAACCTGGGTAACGTCAGAGTGGAGCAAGGTAAAATGGCTGCCGGGTGGCTTACGCTTTCTGCACCAAGGAACTAATCGTACATAACCGTGAGTATGTAAGAAAACTAGATGAAGACAACTTGTTATTGGTGTTTTTTAAAAAACGTGAAACATTACTGCAGGCCTCTTTTTCACCTTGTAACGCGAGTAACTGCTTGTTAATTTGGTCACACAAACTGCGGTGAAGAGATTTCTCATGCACATAAACAAAAGTGGATGGGGTTGGCGGGCAAGTTAGCTGATCCGTGCCCGTAGTCAAATCAGTCAGCAATCCATTTTCAAACTTGTCTTGGTCACCCCTGTCCTTATTTAATTACCCATATTCCTATTCAGTGGTCCGTAAGAAAATGCAACAATGCCTTCAAAACCCGCACACCTTTGATACCATGTTACGTTACGTCCTTACAGTGCTCAGAGGAATGTGGAACCGGGACTCAGTCGCGCACTGTCTTCTGTGCTGGTATGGTTGGAGACATGTATAAACATTTTCAAGACGACGCTTGTCACCCAAACTCTAAACCCCCAACAGTTCGACCATGTGGAAACGACTCATGCACACCACAGTGGTTCACTTCAAAATGGGGCAAGGTACACGAAAATTACTCGTTTTTTATAGTCTTTTGAATCGCAATAGTATTGTCATATTTGATTTGAGGATAAAGACGAACGCATTTCAATGGCGGAAGGCACATCTTTCTGCAAAATCTTAGAAATCCATCGTACCATTTACTCAACCAAGAGAAATAATTGTCTTTCTGTTATTCCTTGGAAAACGTTTGGAAAACGGAGACAGACTCGGAGATTGCACGCATGCTTCTGCAGAAGTTTAATTTTCTTCCATCATTACGAAGCCAACTGTTTCATTTCTCTGTCCATCTTTGCAGTGCTCCAGGTCATGCGGTGGAGGTAACCAAGTCAGAGATGTTATGTGCCTGGACCATAAGGGTCAAGTATCTAAAGAATGTCAATCACGGCACAAACCTTATCATTACCAGCGCTGTAATAACCTGGCATGTCCTACATCAGCTTCACAAGCAAGACGTATTCCACACTGTAAAGACTCTTACAGTGGAACTGTATGCATGTATGTTACACAAGCCAACTTCTGCCAGTTCTCGCATTACCGCAGAATGTGTTGTAACAGTTGCACAAAAAGGCTCTAACACTGAGCAAACATTTTCCTGTTTCGCGCGATTGGTAATTGAGACGTCAGCCAAACGACTTTAGGAGATCATTGAAATTACGTAGGATATGAATGAGCAAACGAAGGAAATAACGCTGAAAATAATTGTGACTTTGCCAATTACTTACCCAATAACATAGTTTACAATAGTGCTGCGCCTTCAGACCAATCACTGGGATACATGGAATAGATATATTTGCACCTGGGTGCATGTCACTACAGGAAAATATTTATCGTGAGTACGAAAAGGTCTAGTCCGAGGTAGTGTTAATAAACACCTCGAAAGTTCTGTGGAGATACTTTACACAGAGCTCCCTAATGGGTTTGCGTATCCTCAACCAGAAAAATTGGCGGTAAAGAGAAGCAGCCATATGGTAAAAGTACTGTAATCATATCTTATAACTTACGTAATGCAGAGACTGTTTTTGTTTTATGATACAATTGACAGTGTAAAGGTACAGATTGTTGATGCAGTTTATTCTCTACCACTGGTAACCAGAGCTGATTTGAGTCTTTGAATTGAAGCAGATTTTTTAATTACACTAAACGCCACCCCTGGACAATATTGTTCACTGATCAAAAAACTAAATGTAATAACTGTCTTCCAATGTCTCCTCACCCTGACAGGACATCTATACATATATAGAATTAAGTGCAATGTCCATTTTTGTTGACATGGATAAATAACCAAAAGATGCCAATTTGACAAAATGTTTCTTTTTTTGGTTTTGATTTAAAAAACAGACAGGAATTTCACTTGAGCAATGTCCATCCTGCTTAGTTAATACTTTTCTTAACAAACAATCTCTTTGTGCCCAGGCCATCAAATTGGTACAGTCCATAAAAAGAGTACAAAGTACACTGCACGGTTCTCAATAAGTTTTGATGTAGACGGCTGAAACATAAAAGTAGGCGGCGGGAGAAGTGAGTACCACAGGCATGAGCCTCTAAGGGGGTCTGGCAGCATGCCCCCTCCCCTCCCCCACCCTCCAAAAAACTTCAAATTATAGAAGGTTAGATTTGCCACTTTGAGCCTTCTGGCAAGCAAATTTGGTTTAAAGAAATAAATTTTTTGTTAGGGACAAGCATAAATTTTACTGAACACCTTTCTTTTCTTGGAATCCTAATAATGGGACCAGACTACACCCCAAAAAGCGCAGTAGTTTTCTCACCTTCATCTACCTGGCTTTCTGTTCTTTGTGATTTACAGAAATATTAACGATCAATTCCAGGCTGGCTTGAAGTGGGTTTTCTTTTACTCATGGGTACTCTATAATTAATTACTTACTAAGAATTCATGCCTTCTTCTAACACTCCGAACGCCACACTACACTTGTTGACAACAAACACCAGTCAGTGGAATTTCGCAGAAGGTAGGAGGCACGCATTGGAATTGCATAATACGTTTTGCTGCTGAAAATGGCTTTCAAGTACTACTCGTTCGGTTCACGCAATTTTTAACTTTGAAATCAACGTGCAGATACAAAATAAGGAGGCAAGCTTATCACCGAAAAGTAGGTGGTTCTAAATTTAAAGTAGCCGGGTTTTTTAGCCAGCTGCCAGCACTTAATGAGAACCCCGAGTACAGTAATGTATAATGAAATCAAATTAAAGCTTCATGTAAATGATTAACAGTTCTGTGCAGTTCAGATGTTATTGTTATTTCAATTCACAGTTTACAATTTTCATATTTTGAATAATTATAGATTTTAACCAAATATAAAGGATGGTGTACACTGCATTGGTGTTAATTCAAACATTATAGTACATCATTACTGGCCTAGAGAACTACCGAGAAAAAAATTTCCATGTTCAATGTTTTCTTTGTAAAGCAAAGTTTTATTGCCTCCAACTTATGAATGTCCCACAACATAGGATTTTATCAAAAGTCTTCATGATCCTTGCTTCACATAGTTGTCCCAACTGGACAGGTGACAAATTTATGTAGGTTCAACTGGATTGTGTAAGATTCTATTCAGACTTTACACGGCCATCAGCAGTCACTTCTTTAGAAGGTGAAACATCAGCTTTTACACCACCATTGGGAAGCGAGCCCTACATAAAATAAATAGTGTTCTAAATGTGGTGACTAAACTTCTGTACATAACCCGCACTCATTAGGGTGGTCTTTGATAAAATAATGTTATCTCAGGCTGTAACAAAAGAAAACTGTGAGACAGTTGAATAAAGGCTGATAGTTTCTAGAGAAGCTGTTTGGGGCTGCGTCGGTGGGGGTAATGAAATAATTTGGATATATCAACAAAGTTGAAATGGTAAATTGGCCACCATAACGATTACAAAAGCTGATGTTTCGAGCATTAGCCCTTTGTAGTTCGATCGCTCTGACGAAAGGCTAACACTCGAAACATCAGCTTTTATAATCGCTATGGTGGCCAATTTACCATTTCAACTTTGTTGATATATCCAAATTATATTGTGAGACAGTGTTTTGTTTCTTTGACATCCATTTTGTGGAACACAACTCACACCTTCAACAAGAAACATAACATTTCACTCTGCTGCCGTCCATTTCTTCTAATAGTGCTTTAATGGAAGAAGAATTGCTTAAAGTTTGGGAAAACTGGTCTTCTCATGACCCAGTTTCATCAAACATGTAACACTATTAGAGTCATGTTTCTACTAGACAGACACCACACAGTCTTTTTATATAAATCCAGTCTTAAAAAATAATTTTTCCTGCTTCTTGTGGGGTTAATTTCTGATCAACTAGGGGGTAATATTGGAGACTACAGGGGATGAATACTGATTTCTTTGCTCTGGGATACAACATTTTAAGAAAATATTAAAAGAAAAGAGCATTAACTCACACAGGAATCCATGGGAATGTGAACCACTTTTCAAAACCCTTACATGGGACTATAATTATGCCAGGGAATTTTGCAGAAGACCAAAAAAACAATAAGTGAGGTATGACAGAAAATACTACACTGAGTAATACAGATCTTTATTGCATCAAATGTCACTTATGTTTCTCCTTGACCTAAAGTAACTAAGGGTGTTTTTGAGTTGAGCTTGATGATCCAAGAGAGAAAATGACTTCCTTCAATGTAAAATCAGGAGTTATTCACAATCGGCCCCATTTAATAACAAATGATCTGCGCAATTGAACCAAAACAATTGAACAAAGGTATCCATAATAATTCAGAAGTCCAGTATAAATGATATAGATCCCACTGCGGTGAACATCGAACGCGTGAACGATCACATGTCTTATGTCTCCTGACAAAAACTATTCAAGTAGGTTTACATTTATCTCAAGATGATTACACTGTAGTTTTTCTACAAGCATTATATAAAATAGTTGGGGGGGAGAACAATGCGTAGTTGACGAGTTGAACAAGACAATTGTAAAGCCCCTAAATTGACAATTGCGAAGGCTGTCATTTTCTTTTTTTAGGCCAATATAAGCTTAATTTGGTCAAAATGCATTCCTACTTACATCAGGGTCTGAAGTCAGTTCCTCCTCGGTTTTGCCACTTTCGAGTTTCGGTTTTCCATACCATCTGTCGACTAGCGGCTGGATAAACTTGTGCCAGATAAATAGAAATACTGGCACAAGAATGCACGATATTCATACCATTATTAACAAAGACAAAACGCACTTTTTCGCTGGATGATCGAACACTCTACTGAAAAGATGCAATCTACTGAAGATCTTCTGAATAAATGACCGCACGAGAGCTAACACGCATGACCCAAACAGTATGACGTCCCTATTTTTATATGATGCGGGCTCAGCAATGGAGGCTTCTCTGGTAAGCTCTTTAAACTTTAGTCGGATTATTATTGTGTTCATGAGAATTGATCGAATGTTTCAGTAACCTCTACCTGTGTTGAGTTTTATATTTTATCTAATTTGAAGGAGGCCTTAAAATCGGTATTCGAACCAGATTTGGTGAAAAAGACGCTCTCTTTGATGCAAGTCTATGTGAGCAACATAGTGAAAGACCCAAGCAATCAGAAATACAGGAAAATTCGAATAAGTTAGTAAGCACCAAATTTGAACAGAGTACCATCGATATTTGACTTGTTATACCTATTTTACGTTAGTTCCCCTTGCATGTAGTATGTGTGGTGATGTTTTATTGTCAAATGTCAGGTAACCCTAAGTTCAATACCACCATCTGGCAACTGGAACAAGCCAGGACGTTTTTGCTGTTTGCAGGGTTTGAACAGGTTCAGTTAGTTTTAATTTATAAGTTCTATATACTGTAACTTGTTTTAATCAACATACCGAGCCGGCTTGCACCTTGACTACCTAATGCTCACCTATGTCTTCTAACTGAGTTCCGTGGGGAAATTTTCATGTATAACGATAATGAAAGATGATAAATTCTCTTTCTGCATTGATCAAAAGGATGACTGCAGGAGATAGGATTAAAAATGGAGTAAAGTACTAGCAAATCAACCCAGCTAAATTGTTTACATGTACTTCCGAAAAGTAACGTAACTTTTTCAAGCGTCATATTCATATGTGCTTAAATTTGGCAACAGGTGCTGTTTTTTTAAAAGAAAAAATACCAATAAATTAGTCACAATTTGACTTTTGAATGCTTTTTTATTTCATTGATCAAACACTGCTGTAAAGAGTTGGACCAAAAAAAAAGACTGTTAGACATGTTCCCCAAAGGGAAGCAGTCAGGTAGCTCAGCAATATTGACTGTGGCAGCATATTTATAGTCTTATAATTGGTGCACTTATAGACAATCTTCAAAGTTAAGGAAACTATTTAAAATCTCAAAAAACAGACTCATTTTAACAATCTCATGAACACTTTCTTTTGGGGAAATAAAGGTTACATACCTGTTTTCTGAAGCATACTTCTCCTATGAATCAAGGTTACAAAACCAGGAACCATGCCCTCATTTAAATTAATTTTATGAGACTTCATCTATTTAATTAGCTTCTAGTGTAGCTATCAGACAGAGAGTAAATTTTGATGTCAAGCAGTTGATACAAGAGTTTAAATAAAAGCTTCACAAGGCACAGCAACTAGCTCTTACTGCCATCTGTTAATATTTCATTTTGTAAGGTTTGTATTGTCCCTTTAGTATTTTAATGGTCTTTTCCATCACTGGCAGACATTCAGTTTGGGGTGTAAAAAACTTTGTTGAAACCTGGATGTTGATAGGCCCTTTGCTTTGCAACTATATACCAAAGTAAGATATTTTTGTGCTATAATGTCTCTCTAGGAGGGAGATTTTCTGTTTCTACCCTCTTCTGTAAAACTGGATGGGGCCAAACTGTTAATTGATGAAGCTCTTGGTACCTCACCATCAAGCCAAGCACTCCCTGTTACTGGTAATCCCTCATCTGTATCTCAACCCAGCAGTGTGCTCAAGCTTAATAAACAGAAAGGTAAGTAAATATGCACTGAATATGAACTATTGGTTATTTAAGTCACAAGAGAATGATTAGTAGTGCCTTTGGACAACTCTGCTACTACTGACAGTCTACACAAATTGTGCTCTTACCAGACGAGTATTATATCAGTTCTTATTGAAACAGTTTTGTTCCTACCCCTATGGGGTCATGAAGTCAAATAGGGTAATGACATGCATCAATACAAAAAAGCCTAACTTATAGTTCCAACTGTCAATACTGTGATAGATATTTAACTTATTTTGATTACTAATGTCACTTAATTTACCAGACTCAAGCTTGTTTGATCAAGATGTCAAGGCAGATCTCACCTTGCTGTCCTACATGAAAGAAATGGGTAATCATGCAATAGCTTTTCGAAGTGCTGGATATTGTACTCTCACTGCTGAATGAATACAGTCGAAACCTCACTAACTCAAACTCCCAAGGGAAATGGAAATTGGTTTGTGGTTAGTGGGGGTTTGATTTGAGTTAACAGGATTGGTGTTGAATTTAAATTACCTGTTAATTATCAATAAGGAATCATGTTTTCACCATTCTTGTCAATCAACAGTCATTTTCTTACATTTAGTCTGTGTCGTGTAGCTTTGTTAGAGCATTTAGTTTGGGCTTAAGTATTGGACTGTATCAAGCAGCTACAAAAATGTATGTTCTAACAATTTGAAGTTTATCAACTCACTTTTTATTATGTTAAAGTTTGAGTTATCAAGGTAAATTTGAGCAAAGGGAAAGCAACATTAATTCAAATTCACAGGGAGTTTGAGTTAGCTGATAGTTAATGACTGGAAAAATGGGGTCAGATCTAAGGAAACCAGATTTTGTTTGAGTAAGTGGGGAGTGGGGTTCTATTGTACCATTTTTTCTCACAGTAAGGCCTGGTCAAGAAATCCTTTGGTAAAATAAAATTTGAAGTTGATTTCTCAAATATTGACTTCATTATCAGCTTCAATAGTCCACTCCTCAGTTGACTATCACAAGTATTATTTCATTATGCATTCAAAGAATTTGGCTCTTTTGAAGAATTGAAAATTCAAGATAAATCTGAAACTATGAAGGCATTGTGAGATCAAAGTGGTTTCTTGTTTCTGAACTTATCCAAAACACTTTTTGTTGATACACTTGTACAGTACAGTCAGGTTCAATAACTGAACCTGACTAGAAAAGGCCAACAACTTCAGGAAAGTACTGTAATTAACATTTATGTGCCACTTGGATATGGTCATCAGGCTACAAGGCTGGTAAAAGTTTTGACAAATAACACTGATATATACAAGTACCTGCATAAAAGGGATTACTAAGCAAATAAGGAGATTGGAGAGGGCTTTCTGCTTTCACAAATAAAAACAACAGTGATGTCCATGAATGTAATTTTTATGAAGTTTTATTGCTTTTACCTGCAGGTTATGATATTGCCATGGCAGAAACAGCTCTAATTGCAACCAAAAACATTGGAATTCAGCTTGCTATAGAATGGTATGAGCTAATTAACTTGGTATGTAAATGTTCAGTAAAACAAGTCAAAGAAGGGTATGCAATGTATAACAGACAGTCTGAAAAGAAAACTATTTGAGAATTTCTGAAAACAAAGTACATTTTTTAATAGCTTTTTGTCAACACCTTAGGATAAACCAGAACCCTGATAAAGCAAAGGCACCACTCAGGTTTTCAGGAGCTAAAGTTCTCCAGGGTAACACACAGATTAACAATCAGGAACCAATTGCTTGCAACTTGCCAGCTGCAGTAAGTCACTTTCATGTACTTTAATTTGTACTTTTCTCAGCATTATATGCAAATGTTATGTCTGCCCAGTGTTTTCTGCCAATCACTTACAGCGGACTTTTATCATGATGTTGCTTATAAAATATTTTTAATTTTTACAGTCAGCACCAGTTGCATCTAGATCCCAAAAGACAATAGATGAAAGGCATAAATTCCAGGAAAAACTCAGACTGGAAGCAATTGAGGAGGCAAAGTATGGAAACTACATGTTAAATTCAAATGTACTCACTAGTAAGATTATTTTTCTTCCTAGAATAAACAAATGTACCCTCACACAGTACTAGGCAAAGAGGGCCACAAGTGGGCCCTACTTAATACATGAAGTTTCAAATTCTACCACAAAGAACTGAACATAGGCAAAGCAGTAAGCTTTTCTCCCATTGTCAAAAGACAAGAAAACAGCAAAAAAAAAAAAACAGACAGTGAACTTTTTATGTGGAATGCCATCTAATATATACTAAAGTATTTGCATAAAGGCTGATAGTTTCTAAAGAAACTGTTTGGGGCTGTGTCGGTGGGGGTAACAAAATAATTTCAATATATCAACAAAGTTGAAATGGTAAATTGGCCACCGTTACGATTATAAAAGCTGACGTTTCGAGGGTTAGCCCTTCGTCGGAGCGAATAGAGGAATTGTGGGTTGTGTTTGCTTTTAAAGGCAGAAAATGGAGCTACGTGATTGGTGGGAACATAGCAACGAGAAAAACATGAATAAATTAGTTTAATGAAAATCGTTCGTTGATCCCTGTGAGATTTAGACTGCCGGTTTGAAAGATGAGCTTTTGTTCAAGATTTTTACGGCTTTCCGTGCTACCTAAGTGTAAGGAAAGACCGCAGATTGCCATATGTTGCTTAGAATGATTAGGTAAATTAAAATGTTTAGGGGCTGGTTTCGATGTGGCCTC